GCGTAACGTTCACGGCGGACGCCTGCCTCCGCCTCTTCCTGCGTCCGAACGGGTGTGCGATGCAAGACCGAATGAACATTTCCTTCCTTCGGAAATTGGGCGCCTGTTTCGTATTACTTTTTTTCCCAGCGCGTAGATAATCAGGAAGTTGGCAAAAAGGAAGCGTGAAAATCGTATTTTTTCTTGTTTGTTTTTTTATTTTTATGCAGGCGAAATCAATCGGTATAAGTACTTTGAAAAGCAACGTTCGCTAGGTATGTTGAAAGGGAATCCCGGACAAAAGCTCACCGGACAAAAGCTCACCGGACAGAAGCTCACCGGACAAAAGCTCACCGGACAAAAGCTCACCCATTCTTTCACAGACCCGGACAAAAGCTCACCCATATTTTCAGAGACCCGGACAAAAGCTCACCACGAGAAAATGTCATGTTGGCCTCAACACGAGTGCGGACAACTTAGGTGCATGCGTGCGACACAAAAAAGCAACGATAAATTAAATCTGACAGGCGCATGGTTTGTTGATTTTAGTAGAAACAAGTTTATTTATCGATTGGTTAGAAGCGAATGCAGTCCCCCACTAGCTCCAGCAGTCTTGGTAGATATCGATGTACATGCAGGCCCTCGCAAATATTTCTAAGACGATTCTGCAGGTGCAGAGTAATTTTTCGCACCCGCTTTACGGTGGGCTCACCTCTCCGGGCTTTTGTCAATGCCGTGGCAACGAGCGCCTGATTTTGCTGTAGGCATTCAATCAGCCTCCAGACGCTTGGATGGGCGTGGCCGACGAGCTTCTGGAACCCGGTACTCTATCTTTCGCAGGTGTTCATCCGGTCTTTATCTTGAAGAGCGGTGTCGTACATATTCCACCGTACCGGGGGAAACTCCGGTCGCCGTCGGCGCAGAGTCAGGCGAAGGGAACAATTCGTTCTGGGTGCCGCCGCAGATGGAACAGAAGCATAATGGAAGTGGCCGTTGACATACGTGCAATCAAAGTAGTCCAGCAGTTAGCCGATGTCACCGGTATACTTTTCCCTGTGGAACAAGCTGTGGTGGAAGAAACCCGAGCCTATCTAAAATCCCGCACAATTTTCTAAATTGGTCATGTGTCTTGTACTTTTCCAATAGGCCAAACTCCCGTTCTTTCAAAGTATTTTTTAAAAAATTCGCAACTCAATGGTGGATGAGGTACAAATTCTCCTAAAAATGGTCCGATGTTTATTGCGTCCGCACTTTATTTCAGCCCGTGTTTCGCCCGGGTAGGGAAAAAAAAAGAAATCGAGGTGAGCTTTTGCCCGGGTCTGTCAAAAAACGGGTGAGCTTTTGTCCGGGTCTGTCAAAAAACGGGTGAGCTTTTGTCCGGTGAGCTTTTGTCCGGTGAGCTTCTGTCCGGTGAGCTTTTGTCCGGTGAGCTTTTGTCCGGTTACCGTTGAAAGGAGGCGATAAGTTCAGTTACCGCACCTCGAAGGAAAGACGTGCCTGCCACGCAATCAACTGGATGAATGAAAAAGTTTTGAAGCTCGACGAATAAATATACCCACAAAACGTTAGGGCGCAAACGAGCTGGTGAAGTTTAACATAATTTAAGACAAAACCCCGAGACTGGGGAAGGACGAAGGACAACACACCACACAAATATAGATTTTTTTTTTTTATTAATTGCATTTCCCGTTTTAAAAGGCAGTGCCATTTAGTGGTAGTAATGAAAAGTCAAACATTTCCGCTCGAATGGGCGCGCGCCTTTGCACACATGAAGGCACTCTAGGGGTGTCACTTAAATTAAACGCGCAGGTTCAAATTTGTGACCCACAGGCGGCGTGCACGGGCCAATTATACTCCATTAGATAGACAATGTTCAAGACGTGGCTTCGCGCCAGTAGCTTGGCTATTGCTGCTTTGTTGGCAAAAGCGAACAAAGGTTGCCTTTTTGTCTTTGGTTTCGACATCTTTAGATAAAGATACAACTTTTTTTTTTTTAATTTGATATTGTGTTTTAGTTGAACGTCACCATACAGTGTCGCTATGCAAGGTGTTTCTTTTCAAGCTTACTAAATCTGTAAAACGAAAACAAACAAAAAAGTGACACTAATACGGTTTGGGCGAGTGAGTTATACAGCCAGGGGGACATAGTGTAGGGAGCAAATCGTAACGATCAATCGGCTAAATAAAGAAAACACGTTAATTGACTTGTAATTATCGAAAATAAACATCTAGTTCTAATTATAAAATTGCTGAGTGTCATCAAAAACCACCAAATCAGTGATTATTAGAAATACTCGGAGCACCTGGGAAGCGCCGTGGGGCGCCAGAGTTCGTGCAGCAGAAGCAAGGCTACCCGTGGTGATAACACGCCCCGGCGGTTTTCCTGTCTCTTATCATCCGCGTTTTCTCCCCCACTTTGTGCCAGTGGCGCGAGTGGTAACTTCATCGCTTTGCTGCGCTCCCCGCGCGCTCAAAGTATTTATAAAAATGATTCGTTTAGTGGCGTTTGATGACACTCAACAAGTTTCTATTGTGAACCATGTGTCTATTTTCACTGACTAAAGAGGCTTTTATGTATCGACTCAGCCTTTTAAATGTATTTTACACTGAACATTTTGTTTCCCTTATGTTGTATCCGCCTTTGAAGTTTGAACAAAGATGTAACCACAGGGGTGATTATCATGAATGCGATAACATTTATCGTTGCACACACGGGCAGGTTAGGGGAACCTGAATTAGTACATAGGTCACGTGACGTCAATTTTTCTGTTAAATCTAGCTGTTGAATTGAAATGGTTCATTGGTAACGCGACATCAATTTTCCGCTAAATTTAGCGATGATACTGAATCGGCGCATTAGTGACGTAACGTCCATTTCCCCCCATCGAATTTAGCGGGGAAACTGCATTGCTGCATAGGTCACGTGACATCAGTTTTCCCGCCAAACTTAGTGGGTTAAGTGAACTGGTGCGTAGGTCACATGACGTCAGTTTCCCGCCAAATTTTAGCGGGCAAGCTACATTGGCGCGCAGGTCACGTGGTATTGATTTTCCGCTAAATTTAGCGGGGAACTCACGTGCCGTCAATTTTCTGCTAAATTTAGCGGGGAACCTGAAAACACGGCCAAGCACCTATCTAGCTGAAAATCTGGAGTAGTAGCTTAATAATACTATCGCATTAACATTTAATTAACAAACATTGGTTAATTATGTGACTTATCGCGACGATTAGCCCCTATATTATGTCGCCCTCCTAGCCGTGTGACTCACCTGCACAAACCAGATTGATGTATCGTTCACAGTTCACAGCGCAGCACTTAGGCGCCCGTTTCGGTGTATCGCGGCGTCGGCTTCGGCGTCGGTGTAACCGCGCTAAATTTGGCGGGAAAATCGAGGTCAAGTAACCTCAACACCAATCCAATTTCCCGATAAATTTAGCGGGACCTCAACACCAATTCAATTCCCTGTTAAAGTTAGCGGGACCTCAACAACAAGTTAATTCCCCGCTAAATTTAGCGGGGAATCGAACTGGCGTTGCGGTCATGTGACGTTCATTTTTCCGCTAAATCTAGCAGAGAAACTGAATTTGTTCATAGATGACGTTTCGCCAAGACATGTGACGCCATTTTCCCGTCTAAATTTAGCGCGGGAACTGAAGGAGAAGGGAAGGAGGGGGAGGAGGATGAAGGATGGAGGAGGGGGACGTCACCGTTGCGATTCTCATTCCCTCTCCTCCACGCTACGTCCCGTCGAGCTGGTGAACCTAGGTGAGGAGGAGAGAAGCGAGGCCGCTTCCCCTCACTCTCAAATTTTCCAGGGGGACAATGACGTCAAAGGCCTCGCGTGATCGCGCCCTTCTTTTCCAAAAGTACGGCCATTCGTTTGGGATATTGATGTATGAGTGATGTTTTGGAGTTCGTAGCGTTTCGTTCAACACTTCTGCGGCCTTATTTTGCGTTCGGTTCAGTAGCCCTTTAACATAGTGTAAATAAAAAACAAAACAAAAAAACATTTTTTTATCATTTCTTTTTGCCTGTTCCGTTGCCCTCCCACGAACGCCTCATTTTTCTTCCTTCCATTTTATTGTGTTAATCATCATTTCTTCGCTAAGATGTAGATTCCCCCCTAAAAAAACGTCTCAACGTAATCTGAGTGCTTCGAGTCTCTCGACAAAACGTCGGTTACCACTTTGAGGCCCCCAGCAGGAGGTTCCTTTTCAAGGTTATTTGATTTTAGAGCTCGCATCAAGTAATTTCGAAGAATATACTCGTCCTTGCTAAGAGCGTGTTCGGTAAACATAATGGCTGCTATCGCCAGGCCGGTGAATGACAACAACGCCTACACACCAACGCTCGACGACGACGTCACGCCTCTGCGGTGGCGCTGCTGTCCGCATGGCGCATGCACAAAACCTGCACATCCTGCGAATCTGCTTTCTGCGCACCCGCATTGCACACATCTGGTGTGGGCAAACGCGTTCTTACATGGAAACAATCTGTTGGTCCCTAAGGGTTTATTTACTCACTAAGCGAGCGAGGTATAACTAAGGTGCCTGGAATGCGTCTCCCACTCGTCTGTTTAGCGCGTCCCAAAAAGTGGTTCCTCGATTTTTGCCTGATGACGTCATAGTGGTGTCATGCTGTCGCCGGTCGCGATCCTGGCGGTATCCCAGCAAAACGGTCGTGGATGGGGCAGACACCTGTTCTGCTGCAGGTCCAGTGTGCCAGTTCACGAAAGCTTCGGCAGCCAGAAGTGGAGACTTGCGACGACAGCGACACTCGCGTTCGCTCGTGTTTTTCGCCAGCATTTGTACGATTAACCGCCAGGATCGTGACATCCGACAGCGGGACACTCCGGCTTCTGCGACGTCGTTTGTTGCCAGTTCGGGAACGCTTTTGATCTACGGGTGGGATAGGACGCTAAGCACACCAGTCGGGGACGCACTCCAGGCACCATAGTATAACTAACGTAGGGTGTGACGGTGCAATCAGTGACGCCCCGGCCACGTGCCCTGGTGCGCAGGGGGAGATGGAGCGGAGGAGGCGGCGGCTCCCAGCCTGGACGCTGGCGCTCCTGATGAGCGGCCTCTGGGCCACCGCCCGGGCCAAGGTCTACGACCGCTGCGAGCTGGCCCTAGAGCTGCACGAGCGTTTCAAGTTCCCCAAGAGGGACCTCGACAAGTGTAAGCCTCTTTGCCCTTCTTCTCTTGTCCTCTGTCGAGGTGTGCATTGGGAGAAAACAAACAAAACAAACGTGCTCTCTGTTCCGATCAATCGAGTATTCGTAATCCCATTTACTCCGTTTCGGATTTCGGCCGCCATGTCAGCGCCAGTTTTCACCAATGTGCCTACACCCGTGTTCACCGTAAGAACCACAGGAAAAAAGAGGCCAGTTCCTCGTGCTACATTACTAACTTCCCATTTTATGCGAGTAATTAAGATATATGTAGATTCATTTTAAATGAGCTATATGTCAGCTTACCAACACGTGCACGTTCCAAACGCGAAAAGCACTTTTGATTCCTCCGACAGCTAAATCTCGTAAGAACTACTTCGCGCAGTGCATAAACAATGCGCAAAACCTTTTTTTTTTTTCTTTTTTTTTTCTTTAGGTTTACTGAGAAGGGCGAGACTAAGCTCCTTACATTTTAAAATCAGATGCACAATTGTTTCCGTCTCCTCCTTACATAATTCGCACATTATCTGTGTCTTCGAATTTGGCCCTACATGTTTTTTGTTCTTAAGAATCCCGTCCTTGTCTCAAACAGTAAAGCGCTCCCTCTTGATTTATCGAATAAACCTTCCTTTCTTATTTTTTTGCTTTTGTGACGTATAAACTTTAAAGCTGACTGCGACTGAATTTACTCCTCTCACATCCATCTCTCTGCCCCTGCCTTTTCAACTGAACGCGTTTGCACCAAAACATTGTCCGCCTGCAGGAATTTCATTCTAAGCTTTCATGTCCGTTTAGTCCATATCGTGTTCAGACTCCTCGTATACAGGATATTTATAGATTTTATGCGCCCACCGCGTGTCCTCAATGTCTGTTAGTCTTTCGTCAAAATTGTGTTTACTCACTGCCTCTCAGCTCTCAAACGGTGATCAGCCCATATCACCCTAGTTACACACCCTCGTTTGGAGTGTTCCGATGCGCCCCGAGAGCTATCCTGCCAACGCTCCTTTGTCCAATGTCCAATTTCGCCTGCACTTCAATCAATCAATCAATCTGTGTTTTTGTGGCCCAAAGAGCTGGTAAGGCCTTAGGAGGGTTACACCTGCACGAAGTGAAAGACAATCAGACCAAAAATATTTTCAGACTAGAAAATAAGCCTAAGTACTACACCTAAAAAAAATTAAAAAAAGAATGCAAGGGTCCGCGTCAGGATTAAAAAAGTCCGCGTCAGGGTTAAAACACTTGTTATAGATGATCTGCATCCGAGTCAGCGGTGGAATAGATTCCAAGTTAGAAAAGTAAAAAGAAACCGCGGTTTCTTTTTACTTTTCATATGATGTGAGATTCTACCCAATAACGGGGGGAATCAATAGCAGCGTTGGTAAGTTTATATAAAAAAATATGTCGCGAACTAGTCGTCTATCCGAAAGAGGCGAAAGACCAAGTGTAATCAAGAGACACACGTAATCATAAGAACCATCCGTTCAATGTGGTGATCTTAGATATGTCTTACAAATCGTCGCGTTACGCACTCTAACTGATTTTAATTGCCTCCCAGAGAATTCCACACAGTAGAAGAAAAGTTCAACCTTAATAAAACTAACGATTGAAATAGGTGCAGTTGTGACTGCGGAAATTACGGGTAATGCGTACAATTACGCCTAGGATGCGTAACGAATCATTGATAATTTTCGAAACATGGTAATTAAAATTGAGGTACGAGTCAATCAAACCACCTAGGTCACGTACAACTGAAGATTGAAATGTTTGAGTCGTGCAATTAGTAGGAATGAACAATAACATTTGCCTTATGGGAGAAAGATACAACCTTAGTTTTGGTTAGGTTCAATGGGAGCGAGTTTGTACAACACCACAGGCGAATCGCATCAACATCGTTTAAAAACAGCTCACAGTCAGCAGGCGTGTGGATACTGCAATACATTTTCATGTCGTCAGCGAACTGTAGGATCTCTGATTTACTGACACAAGTTGTGAGGTCATTCATAAAAATATTAAAAAGCAACGGTCCAAAGTTCGACCCTTGTAGTACTCCAGAATTTATCCACTCCCCCGCATCGACGGCACGTTAGACCGGCTGCGCCACTCCCGATACTTCTCATCGATGGACCCGAAGAGCGGCTACTGGCAGATCGAAGTCGACGAACGGAACCGAGAGAAGACAGCTTTCGTCACGCCGGATGGGCTGTATACGAGTTCAAGGTGATGCCCTTCGGACTGTGCACGGCTCCAGCAATGCCACGCTCGTCGGCGAGCGACTGCGTGCGTGGCCCAGAGGTTACCGTGCTTGACTGTCGCGCGGAAAGTCTGGGTTCGATTCCAGTCAGTGGAATGCTCGTTTATTCGTTCTTTCAACATTGCGTTCTCGTGAGTTCGCGAACATTCTCGTCTGATCGAGTTCCGAGTGTTCTAGTCGCCGAACATTCTAGGCCGATTGTTCCAGAAGCCAACGCGCGTGCATAAGGGACTCCGCGTGGCGATCTGCAGTCAGTCTCGCCCCAGCGTTCGACTCTGCTGTTACGCCGACTTCGACGCGCGGGACGCTCTGTTATTGTCTTTTCCCAGCACCTCCACCAAAATGTCACGGGTGGTGACCAAAAAACAATAAATAAACAGGAAGAAATAAACGTGTAATGTGGCGAACTTGTGCCAAAAATAAAATGGCACAAAAGATAATAACAGAGCGTCGCGCGCGTGGAAGTCGGCGTAACAGCAGAGGCGAACGCTGGGGCGAGACTGACTGCAGATCGCCACGCGGAGTCCCTTATGGACGCGCGTTAGCTTCTGAAACAATCGGCCTAGATTGTTCGGCGACTGGAACATTCGGAACTCGATCAGACGAGAATGTTCTCGAACTCACGAGAACGCAATGTTGAAAGAACGAATTAAAGAGCATCTCACTGACTGGAATCGAACCCAGACTTTCCGCGCGACAGTCAAGCACGGTAACCACTCGGCCACGCACGCGGTCGCTCGCCGACGAGCGTGGCAATATAAGGATATGAATTGCATTCTAAGTAGGGCACCATATTTGAGCGATCACTAAGGTAGCTGCCAAACCTGTCGCAAAGACCCGAAGAAAGACCCACATTAGACAGCTTCGTCAGCAATGGGTTGTGATCTACGAGGTCAAACGCCTTAGAACAGTCAAAATATATAACATCAACCTGGCGACGGGAGCCAAGTATAGGCTTTGTGAAGGTCTGAAGGTTAGTCTCAACAGAACGTCCCCGACAAAAACCGTGCTGATTTGGACGGAGCATTGGTCTAATCGGAAAACTCAGATGCTTAGAAATAACTTTCTCAAAAAACTTTTAAAAAAGCAGCAAAAAGCAGTGCAATTTGTCTGTAATTATCGACATAGGAAGTTTCCAGATTTGTGCTCTCGCACAACCACAGCATTTTTCCACGAAGATGGAAAGGTACTTGTCTTTAAAGACACGTTAGGAATGTACTGCACCACAGGAGCCAAGATAACAGGACACCCTTTAAAAGGACACTGACACCCCCCCCCTTTTTTTTCCCCCCATTTTTACCAGGCGATTTAGTAGGGTGTCAGAAGACTGCCCAATTAATGTTTTATTACAAAGACACGTATATTTCTAATAAAGCCGAAAAAAGCCACTGCTCCAAACCGAAACCGAAACCTTCGCACAAAGGTCGCAGAAACATGGAGGAGAGAGTGAGTGCCGAAAGTGACGTGGCTACACCCGACCGTGCGCTTTTTATTCCCCCCCCCCCCCCCCCCCGTTTTTTTTTTTTTTTTTTCTTGGCTGCGCGCAGCAGACGTCTTGGTTTGCGGGAACCGCTTGCCGTGCGATTGCTTTGCAGTTATGTTTGTTCAGCTCGCTGTTCGGCCCTTCAAAATGTGTTGTTTTGTACACGCATTGAAGAGTTGGAAATGAGTAGTGAGTGCCCGCAGTGAATGCCCGTGATCGGCTCCGAGAAGAATGCTCTCAAGATGTTGCGTGAAGAGCTGCCTCACAGGTCCTGCATCCGAAAGTGGCATTGTGCAGCAGAGTCTGCACAAGTTCCCGAAAGATCAACGGGATCAGGACCAATGGCTGTCTGCAATCCTGCAGAACAGCTACGGGAACCTCAAAAAGCGGACGTTACCTGATTTATATGTTCCTTGCATCTAGTGGAAAGTGACTACAGCGAGTTCACAAGTGTCAAAAAAGGAGTGCCATACCATTTAGTTCAGCGACGTTTCGTCCGCAACATTTTGTTTTCAATAATAATTGTAAAAAAGTGTAAATATTGCACAATGATTGACAAAAATAAATGTATGCCCACACTCTGGGTTGAACCTGGGTTCGCTGCGTGTGAAGCGGACACCTTTCCTCTGAGCTACAGGGGGAACTCTTTCGTTCGTAGTAATGCAGCCGGTCGACTGTAGGTCGGAATGTTTGCTGCCGATTTCCCTCCAGCAAAGGCACTTCCTAGGCTTAAAGTCGGGCAGCACCATGCATTGGTCACATTCGCACCTAGTAAAAAAAAATCATACGCGTGCATATTCAACTCGAAGTACGCACTTGGTGCTTGAAGTTTGCGCCAGCGATGTCTTCAGACACGAGAAAGGGCGACGGCTCGGCGACGTCTTCGTGCAAATCGGCTTGGTGGTCGGGTGTGCCGTCGGAATGAATACCAATTTTTTTGATCGGTCCAAAATTTCTCTTTCGAAGGAAGACAGTTTCGCCGGTTCCGCGAAAGACAGTTTTCAAGTAGAGGTCCCATGCCCGTCGTCCGCTGCCATCGCCGTCCAGCCCGCGAGTCCCTCGATACGCGATACGACGCCATGTTGAGAATTACGCGGCGAATGCACAGATAGCTTCCGGCATTCTGTGCAACTTTTTTTTTTCAGTCAACGTATTTGCAGCTTTTTAGAAGCCACAAAAAATGGGTTTCATTTTTTTTTTTTTTTAATTCTTAATAGTGAGTGTGTGCCTTCAATGACCCACGACTGATCAAATTTGGTGATTGTGTCTGAAC